AAGAATGGCATATAGAAAACAACTCCTGTGTACCTTTTTCTCAGATTCACAGGTTTTGTATTTTGGAATAGTGGCTTCTCTCTTTCTCTCTCCATATACGTGTGTGTGTATCTATATGTGTATACACACAGACGCACACACACATACCTTTTTTTCTGAACCTTTTGAAAGTAGGTCCCCTAACTTATAATCCTAATATTTCAGAGAAAAATGCCTAAGAACAAGGATATTCTTATCACAGTACAGTTATCCAATTCAAATAATTTAACATAGGTACAGTTCTATCTTAATCCAATTCCTGTTCCAATTACATCAATTTTCCCAAAAATGTAACTTGACAGAATTTTATAATAGGCAAATTTTAAAAATGATATTTTCCATTTTAAGTGTAGAAAGCTTTTGAATGTGTAGCTTCATATAGAAATGCACCAATTACCCATCTCTAACTACATAGAAGAATTTATAATCAGCAGAAATGTTAGAAACTGAACTCACCTCTGTGCTTCTGAGAAGTGGCGTTGCAGAGTTGAAATCAGCCAAGGTCATCAGCAGGGTTTCAATGTGAACTTTGGTGCTGGGCTGTTGTTGGCATATCTTCCAAAGTAAATATGTCCCAAATCAAACAACACTCAACTAGCTTTGTCAGCGCAAACCTCTCAGCTGTGTCTTTGATCACTATTGAGTGACTTGTGACTCCTCCGCTCCAGTTCTGGTATAGCTGACATTTTGAATGTATGACTGTCACTGTGTGGACATGCTTACAGTAGCAGTCCTTGCTGAAGCCACCATGTTACAGAAATGCTCTTCAGAGCTCAGAGACTGGGTTCCTTCGGGGGTAGTAGCTGTAATGCTCCCCTGAAAATGGAGGCCACTCTCCTGCCCTCCAACTATGAAATCTCCCTCCAGGGTGATTGCAGCATCTGACCTCACCTTGGTTTCCACGGCTGACATGGCACTTAGGCAGGTGTCCCTGTCCTTCTGTGCGCTTGTTCCTCAGTGAAAAGTGAAGAGGGAGAATGAGATTCGTGACTTCTAGCATAGGGAAACCTTGGCATAGACCTTTCTTCAGTCAAGATCAATGTGTTCTCTGTCAGAATTGCAGCCCAGCTCTCTTGTCCATCACCGTAAGACATATAGGGTGTTAATGAGCAGTGCTCCTCAAACTCATGTCCACTAGCCATAGTATGGCCCTAGTCATACTATGCCAGGGGCCAGTAGGGGGGATCCGTGGGGCTGTGATCTTTTTTGTTTTTTGTAATCTGAAACATTATTATAAGAATATTGTGGAGTATCTGGAAGACTAACTTATCACAGAGCACTGTTGTCTGATTTTGGGACGCTTGAGTGTGGTAGTGTCACCCAGACACTTTTTAAGGTGAAAGTTAGACTCTCAGGGGAATCTGCAGGTATGCCGGGGGCCAGTAGGGGGCATCTGTACATTGCTCATTTTGAGAAATTCTGGCACGTAAAGGGTTATCCAGTGCATTCAGGATCTGGGAGGTGTGGTTGAATCCTGATCTGGTTTGGCACTCAGTGCCTTTGGTGAGATGTTGTTTTCTCAGAGCTTTCATTGTTTTACTCAATACTAAGTCTCAGCAAGAGCTCTCTCACACTGGCTCGGAAAGGCCGCTGCCTCGGTCCAGACTCCTTAGAGCGGAGCTCGCTAAGCCCCATACAATCTACTCCTGGCCAGTTCCCTCTTCTCCACCTTGTTTTCACATGTGATAAGCCTGGCCCCTGGCATTTGCTGTTCTTTCTGCGTGGAGTGTCTTCCCTCCAGACCATCACGTAGCTGCTGCTTTCTCTCACTATTCACTCTCGGCTTCAGTGAAGCTACATTGACCACCCTGTTGGAAACTCTGCCTCGCCCCTCCCAATCTGTGTTCTCACTCTAAATGAGTCCAGTGGCAATGTTTTATCTTTTTTTATGGCTTAAATAGTATTCCATTGTGCTTATGTACCACATCTTCTTTATCTAATCACTTGTTGGAGGACACTCGGGTTGTTTCCATGTTTTGGTTATTGTAAATAATGTTACAGTGAACATAGAGGGTACGTATATCTTTACAAATAACTGTTTTTAAAATTTTCAGATAGATAACCAAAAGTAGGATGGCTGGGTCATATGGTAACTCTGTTAATTTTTTGAGGAAACTCCGTTCTGTTTTTGTCAACATGGATGGATCTTGAAAGTATTATGCTAAGCGAAATAAGTCGGATAGAAAAGCATAGGAAATGTATGATTTCATTCATGTGGGATATAAAATGAAAAGCAAACAAACAAATTAAAAAACAAAAAATGAATTCATAGATACAACAGAATGGTAGTTACCAGAGGGGAAGGGGGCGGGAGGAGGACGAAGAGGATAAAGGGGATCAAATACATGATAATAGGACTTAAGTTGTACATCTGAAATTTATATAATGTTAGTAACCAATCTTACCCCAATAATTTTATTTTTTAAAATTAAAAAAATAAAACGAGGGCAATAGTTACAAGTACTACATAACGCTATTGTGAAAATTAAATGAGAAAATGTGTGGAAAGCACATAGAGTGGCACCTGGAACACAGTAAATACTCAGTAAACATTGGTTATTATCACTTTCATGGAACGTAGTTTATTCACAGAAAAGATCTAGAAGGAGATGCAGCCAACTTATAACATTGAAAGTGGGAGGCAAGTGGAAAGCTTTCATTGTTTTACTCTATATACCTTTTTGTTTGAATTTCTTTTCTATGAGTACTTTTGTTATTTTTAAACCAGTAGCCAATAATGTTTCCTGCCATGTCTAGATTTCTGATCATGTAACCCACTGTTGAAAAAACTAGATTTCAATCCTTAGTGACACTTTTGACAGTTTGGATCTGTTCCCCATTAGAGAGAGTGTTCCCATTAAAGGTGTGTGGTTTGGGTCCCCACTGCAAAGCAGTACCTTCTGTCATACATACTCCACTATTTTTTTTTTCCAGTTCCAAGGCTTGCCTCATAGATGTGTTTTCCAATGTCTTATTATGAAATTTAAAAATATACAGAACAGTTAGAAGAATTGAATAATGGACATCCATATGCCAGCCACTAGATAAATTGCTGTTTTGCTGTATCTGGCTCAGTTCCATGTGTATGTGAGGGTATTTCCTCAGATACCTGAGATGAGTTGCAGAGGACATTGCAACACTTCAGCCCTGGGCCCTAGAGCCTCTGTTTCTTAAATAGGGGAGTCTCTGCCCTGTTCTGTGGCACTGTTACACTTGAGAAAATCACAGTCTTTCTCTCATGGCCAGGCCAAGTCACATTCCTCCATGACTTCTTTGATAGCTTTTTTAAAAATCCAAGATCCAGTCAGTTTATGCATTGCATTTTGTTGTTATGTCTCTTTAGACTCCTTTATCTATTTGTCTTTTTTCCCTGACTTTAATCTTTTTAGGAGAGAGCAGGTTGATTATCTTGTAACCCTTTTCTCTAGCCTTTGCATTTCCTGTCTTGGGGGCCAGACAGGACCCGTTCATCATCTTCTACCCTTCTCTAAAACCTCCCAGTTCCTTTCTCTCTCTCTTGAAGCATAGGACAGTGTCCCTGTTAGCAAGGTCCTAACCAGCTGTGGCTGTTATGTCTTTAACTCGGAATGCTTCAGAGCATGGAGCACTTCTGGGGCCTTTTCTGATTCCACTGTAGTCTTCCTTTCCTGGGGACCAGAGCCATCTCAGCTGGCATGATGGTCCATGGACCAGAAGTTGTCAGCACAGGAAGAACCCACATGGCACTCTTAAGCCCAAGTCCTTAGGAAGGAACCAAGAAGTGCCCATACCAGATTTTTTAAGTTAAAATATAATTGACATATTGGTTTCAGGTGTATAACTTGATTCAATATTTGTATATATTATGAAGTAATCACCACAATAAAGGTAGTTAACATTGATCTCCACATATTAAATCCTAGAGATGGGATTTTAGGTAAAATGTTGGAGATATTTAGAATTTTGATGCATATTACCAAATTGCTTTCCAAGAAGTGTTGGTACCAATTTATAGTTCTAGCCAGGTGTGAAGGTGCCTTGCACTTATGCCTGCCCCTTCCCCCCAGTGATGGGATCATCATCTGTCACATCTCTGTGTCCCTGGCCCAGAGCCTGGCCCTCATTTTCACTCATAAGTACTCGGATCACAGGGTCCCCCCTCACTGTGGGTTGATTATCACTGTACAGGGGCTCAGTACCCGTCAGGGGCTCAGCACCTGCTGGAGGTTCTGTAAGGATCATTCACCCAGCAGGTGTTGTGCACAAATTTAGCCATTTTACGTACCTGAGGAGTCACTCCCTGCTTCCCACTGGGTGGGACACCATCTGGAGCATGGAGGCAGGGCCTTCAGTCCCGCACTCTGACACCTGAGCAACTCTGCCTGTATCAGTTGTACATACTGGGATTCTTCTCAAGATTGCTATTTGAAACATTGGGCTCCTGGGAAAGATTTGAAAGCTACCTCTTGACCCACAAGATTTCTCATGATCTCATTCTCTCCAATCACCTCCTGTCACCTGCGTCCCAGCCCCAGTTCATCATTGCCTTCTCCTAAGCACTGCATGCCCACCGCAGGCCCGGGCTTTGTGGTCAATACTGGACAGGCTGCTCTCTCTTCTCTGCCTGGCTAATTATGTTTCACTCTGATGCTAACATCAAGACCTGCAACACCTTCTCTGGGAACTCTACCTGCCTCCAAACTAGACAGAAAGGCCTTGGAATGTACAAACAGGGCTTTTCACGACGCGGGTACAGTGCTTGGTGCACATTAGCTACTCAATAAATATTCGCTAAATGAATGAACATTTACTGGGGAAGTTACCAAAAAATGTCAGTCGCTGTTTTTTGTGCCTTTTCCTACTCAATCTGATTGATTCTCAGAGAATGTTCTTGGAGAATGAATCTGTGGTTAATTTCACATCTGTAGGTTTTAGGGTTGTGTGAATAACCTCCTTTTCTCTCTCTCTCTTTGGCACATCAGCTGACTCGACGGTTGCCGCCCATCAAGGAAGCTAAGCCGAGGTTGCAAAAGCTATTCCGAGACTTCTGGCTCTATTCTGTACTGATGGGATTTGCCGAGGAGGGGTCAGGTAGGGAAATGTCCACTCTCCCAGGAAAGACAGACTACAGAGTGAGAACAGAGGTGAAGTATGACTTGACCTAATTATGAATGTGCATGCATTTGAAATTAGTCCAAATGCAGCTCCTGCTTCCTGTAAGTATTTGCAAATGTTACACTTCCCAGATGTGGTTTAGGGTTCTGAGAATACAACATATCTTAGGAAAAAGCCTGCCCAAGCTACGAAACAGACTTATTTCTGCGCCCCATTTTGGGGATGATTGGCTCAAACAAAGAACCCACAACTTTAGAAATTGTCAGCATCGACCCCACTGCAGCGCTTCCTAACCAGGGTGGTCATCTGACCCATGTGCACTCTCTTGCAGGACTCTGGCCAGAAGAATGGTATGAGGGGGTCTGTGAAATAGCCACCAAGTCCCCCCTGCTCACCTTTCCCAGCAAAGAGCCGCTGCGGTCCGTCCTCCAGTATAACTCGGCCATGAAAAATGACACAGTCACCCCCGTAAGGATTCTCGCCTCCCAAGGACAGATGGTGTAGCGCAGGGGTTTTGCTAAGCTCTCTTGAACAACGAGAGCAGATCCTTTCATTGTCCTTGTTAATACGTGTTAGCCTCTGGGGTCTGTGTCTCCTGGAGGAGGGCCATCTCCCTCTTCGAGTGCCCATGTGAACCCCTGAGTATTTATTTCTCTCTAGGCTGAACTGAGCGAGCTCCGTAGCACCATCATCAACCTGCTGGACCCTGCCCCTGAAGTGTCTGCCCTCATCAACAAACTGGACTTTGCCATGTCCACCTATCTCCTGTCTGTTTATCGGCTGGAATATATGAGGTATACAAGCTTTCACCTCCCCACACATCCACATTTGAGCTGATTTACATTTTCATGCATGGGACTTTTTTCAGTTCCTTCTAAGACATGCAAGCTTTCTTAAAAGCAAACAAAAAGCACCCTCTGCTTTTCTTATGTGCTCCTCTTTCCTAAGCACCTAACATTATATCTGCTAACACCTTAAACTCTGTTCTTATGTTCCCCTCATTGGGAATAGGCTTCTGAGCAGTCACAATAGATGCTTCAAACTCAGTCTGTGGACTGAGTTGACAGCCCTGTTAGGAACCAACCGTCATTGAGAATATTCTAAGACACTCCACTCATTGAGCTGGCTTCCAGGACCACAGTGGAATACAAACAGAAAGTAGGAAGTGGCCAAAACAATCCCACAAGTGGCCTGACCCTCAGGATGCATCTGTAACCACAGCAGACCTAACAGCTATAATAATTACAAAAGTTATGATCTATATTTGTCATCATGACAATACCAGTATTAATATGGACTGAGTGCTTATGCTGGGCCAGCCTCTGCTCTAAGTTACACACATTGACACGCTCTCCAACAAGTCTGTTTGGTAGGCACTCAGCCCATTTTGCAGATGCTGAAACTGAGACCAAGCAGTTAAATAAGTTGCCCAAGATGATAAGCTCTGATTTAGATTGAAACGCAAATAGCCTTTTAAGCACTGTGCCATGCTGCCTCTCCTAAAAGTCTGGAAGAAGCAGCCAGGATGCTCAGAGCTCAGCTGCCTGTGGCTGCCAGTGTAGACACTACAGACCCACCAGACTAAGGCCTGAGGCATGCTGGACTGCAGCCAAATACACAAGCTATAAAACGATGTGTCCCTGTTACCAAAAAAAAGGTTATATTACACTTAGACTATTTGTTTATGTCACCGGATGGGTGCAGTTAGTTATAGAATAATGTCTTTCTTGAATAATTTGAAAAAGTATTTTTAAAAGGAGTGATATTTGGAAAATACCACTCTTTTAATCTTTATTGGTGCCACAAAACCCTTTGATAAAAGAAATCTTACTTGGAAGCTCAACATGTTAAAGAGATTCAGGCTGTTTGGGGGTGGGAGTGAGCCCCCACCCTCTGCTCAGTCTCCTCTCCCTGCCTCTTGTAGCCCAAGGACTCCAAAACAGAGCAGAATTTGAAAACCAGTGACCCATTTCCCCCAGAGTCTCACAGAGCTAAGAGAGTTTTGACTTTCTTTTGCATTATAATTTTTTTCAGTTATAAAAGTAATATGAGAACATTACACAAAATCTTGGAAATAAGTAGAGGGAAAAAAATCATTGATCTCACCACCATTTCTTATAACATGTTGGTATAGTTCCTTCTAATATATATACATATAAAATACATTTTCAAAGAAAAACAAACCGAAACAAAACAAGTCAAACCAAAATAGCCAAAACCTGGTTTTAATCCTGCTATGTGTGGCTACAAGCAACCTCCTCAGCCTCATGTCCCTGCAGGAAGAGTTGTCTCCTACTTCCACACAAGTGTATATGAGTAGTGATCTCAGGCTCTCAGAACAGGCTATTGAGTTGGCCCACAGAGGAAGACTTTTAAAGGGATGCCCCACGGTGGCTCCCACAAGCCCAGATCCTGCCCTGGGCTAGCTGCCAGTCCACAACAGCAGTCTTGTTAGCTCAAAGAAGCAACTCTGATCCCTTTATTCAAGAACCTGGCTTAGATTCCCAGCCACTGGTTATCGGGAGAACTTTAAAGTGGAAAATGTGAGAAATTATGTTAAAAATGTGTGCACATGAGCACTCAAGACCGCCTGTGCCTGAGCCACCGACTGAGCCTGCCCCACTGAAGCTTAACTCTCAGAGGGTGGGTGCAGAAGCCCAGACACACTGAGGGGCACTAGCCTGGGTGTGTGCTTACAATGTCCCTATGGAGCCCCCAAATCGTGAACAGTCCTCCACGGGCCATGGTTCAAGCACATGCCTGCCTTTTCTTTCTCTATTTTTCCCAAGATTAAAGATTTTTTTTACCCTAAAAGTCAAAATATTCAAGGTGCATAAAATAAAAAAGAGAAAACATTAGGATAATACAGAAGATGCTAAAGATGAAAAATACAAGCCTCACTTTCCTAGCCTTGAATCCAGAGATGCCCACTGTTGATAGTCTCTTAGTTTCCTTTCTAGAAAATTTCTGTGCCTATTCAAGCACATGTATCCTACACGTACACAAGGCACATGGAGAGGCCTTTAGGAAACCTGTTTCTCCTGTACCTTGCTCTTTTTACCTAACAGTTTGTCTTAAATGTTTTTCTATAGCAGCACATACAGAGCTACCTCTCATTTTGGTGGCTGCATGACGTGCCATTGGATGGACATACTTTGATTTATCTGACCAGTGTCTTATCAATAGATATTCGACTGGTGCTATTAGGAGAGTCCTTGTGTACATAACCCTTAAGATATATCGCTAGCGGTGAGGTGCTAGGTGGAACAGTGTGGGAATGTCATGTTAGATGGGAAACATCACCCTCCAGAAAGTCCACATCAGTGTATGCCCCTCTAACTGGCATAGGGCATCTGTTCTGATAGCCACACTATTTCTGGGCAGCATCAATGTGATAAGGAGGGCCTGGATTTTTTAAAATTTACTCAAAGCTGTTCTTCTTACCAGGGTTCTGCGCTCAACAGATCCTGATCGCTTCCAGGTCATGTTCTGCTACTTTGAGGATAAAGCCATTCAAAAAGACAAGTCCGGTGAGTTCATTGTCGTGGTACTCTCATGATGAACTGAGCTTTGATAGTATAAAAAGGAATACTACTCCCTATTTTCTGTCTGTGTGGAGAAAATAAGTTTAATGAAACTGCATACTATGTTGGAAAAGATCAGTATAAAGCATAACATATCTTTCTGGCTCTGCCACTGCTGTCAAGGGTCCAAGAGCAAGAATGTCACCCTTGCCCACCATCAGTGCTCAAGTGTACTCCAGCCTTCAGATTTTGGTCCCTAATTCTCTCCTCTGCTAAAAGGATCCTGGGCTCCTCAGATGGTCATTGATGAACCTGGAACGTCTTCTTGTAAGGGAGCATTCATACCTTTTAATGTCCGGACCAGGCTGAGACAACTAAGAACCAATTTAAAGGGATACTCAGGGAGAAATTATCATAATTTGAATGTGAATACATTTATTTTGCTTAAAAGAAGGGGAAATATACTAGGATACGTATATATAATATTTGTTTCTTCTATTAAGTATTTATGAAGTAGAGACATGTAGTTATTTCTTTTACAGTCAGAAAAGAGCCACACAGTCCATGAAAGAGGGTCACACCTGGTCTCAGAGAGTGACCAGGTAGACAGGGTGCCTAGCAGGTGATGAGCAGAGGCATCCCACCAAGTAGCTAATTAAAGACGCTCCATTAGCCAAGAGCTCCACAGAGAGCTTGGTGTGGGCACAGTCCCCATCTGTCACTGTGAGGGATGCCTCAGTAGTCCTGCTGATTATGAGAAGACCCCACTCAGGACCACAGATGTTTCCACTTGCACCATTAGGCCAGGCCAGCATGTCAGGGCAGCGGGTCAAGACCTACAGGCCACATCTGATTTAAGGGCTACATCATTCCTGGGAAAGTTTTCAACTACAAAAATCTATATGAAACACAAAGATTCACAAAGTTCAGTGATGCAAATGTCCTCAGACCCTGAGTACACAGAGGGTTTCAGGTGTAAAGAGTTCCAACTAAGAAGACAGAAATATAATTGAATCTCTTAGAAGATGTAAAAAATTATAATTACCGAAACCTTAAGTGAGGCAAACCTAAGAATAGGAATAAAAATAAGAGATATTAAAATAGAGGCAGCAAAGGAAAAAAGTTAAATGCATAGTATAGGCACTATTTGACCAATTTTAGTATAAGAACACTGATAACTTTTAGCATCATTGTTTTGGTCTGTGTGCTGATTTATAAGGTGTTTAAAATTTAACACACTCTGAAATATTAGGCCTATGTTTTAATTAAATACTTAGAAGAATTTAATTAATTTTGTAATCGTTTAAATATTTGAGGGAATTTAGTAAGCTAGATCCACAAATTTTTATTAACTGTATGGGTAAATATTTTAAGGAATGCTGATTGGTCATTCTTAAGATTCATAAATTTAGTATTAATAAAATGCAGTTAGTAGTGAGGAGTCCTTTCCATGCCAGAAGCCCTTGGCATACTGAGGAATCTAGCAACTTGTTCTTGCCAATGGAGAACTAATCCCCAGATACTTTTGGTACCATTGTCTCCTTTGTGTTGAAAAGTCAGTCCTTGAAGAAATCTTTTTTAAAAAATCACCTCAGGGACTCTGAGATGCTGCTTCTAATATGTCCTTTGCAGAGCACTTCACATGCCTGCTCAACAGTCAGAAAATTAGGTGCATGAATTTGTTTTTGTAGTTGGAAGCCAGGAGGTCAACAGAGGAAGATAGCTTGAGGGTTCTGGCATCTCCCCCTGCTGGGAGTGGGAAGAAAGATTGGAGAGAGGAGGAGCCTATTAGAGACCAGGATGGAAGGTACAGGCAGTTTCTATGGAAAGAAACCTCTCTCACTAGGGGCACAATGTATTGTGGGGGGAACCCCAAGCTCAGAAGGTCTCACATATGTGCCCTAGGACCACTAGGGGTAGAGATGCTGTTAACCACTGGCTGAGCTGATCATTGATTCACTTCCCTTGTTCATCTACCCAGCGTTTGGTTATTTAGCAGCTATTTTGTACTAAATTTTGTGGCAGACAGACAGTTGGGTCATCCTAAGATTGTTTCATTTTACAAAGGAGAGTAAGCAAGAAGAATAAAATTGAAACTGCCAACCCCTAGGGACCTAAGGACCTACCACAGTTTGTCAGTCTCCTAATGAGACTATCTATAGAATGAATCAGATACCTTTCTGAAGCTAGATGTCTCATCTGTCATTCTCGCCTGAGCTCTGTTTTTCTGTTGCTGTGTCATAATAGGAAATTAAATTGCACTGGGGACTGGTTTGCTCTACACAGACACTTTTAATTTACACAATACACTGTACTCTTCCACATGACTTCAGATGGATTGTTTTTGTTCTGAGTATGATATGTAGGTTAAGCTATTAAACATGCACCTCTCGAGTTTACTTCCCCCTTTTCTCTCTTAAAACATGAGTATTGGGAAGGAAATATCTTTGGAGACATGTGTTATTCATGAATTTTCAAAACTGACTAGGAAAGAGGTTATGTGAAACGTCTACCAGCCCCTAAAGGGGAGCACCAGTGCCTCCTCTGTGCAGGTGTAAGCCAAGTCTCTCTAAAGTGCAGGAAGGTGAGGGCAGGAGCCCGCTCCTCACCTGCCAGCTGCCCAGTTAATCAGTACAAACATACCTCAGAGACATTGTGGGTTTGGTTCCAGACCACTGCAAAAAAGTGAATCTTGCAGTTAAGCAAGTCATCCATCTTTTTTACTGGTGGAGAACCTTGCCTTCAATTTATTTTAACACACAACATCTTTTAAGTACAATAAAGTGGAACACAATAAAATGAGGTATGCTTGTACACTAGTCCTGAAGGAGAGTGGCATTTTTAATTTTTTAAAAGATTTTTAAAATATAGCTAACATACAATATTATTTTAGTTTCATATGTGCAGCATAGTTATTCAATATGCACATACCTAAGAAGTAATCACCATAAGTCCAGCAATGATATGACACCATACAACACTATCGCAATATTATTGACCATATTCCCTATGCCGTATGTCACATCCCCATGACTTATTTGTTTTATACCTAGAAATTTGGACCTCATTCTCCTTCACCTTAATTTTTTAATTTTTCAATTACAGTGGACATTTACTATTATTTCATGTCACTTTCAAGTATACAGCATAGTGATTAGACATTTATATATATAAAGTGACCCCCAGATTAGTCTAGTATTCTCCTGGCACTATCATAGTTTTTACCATATTATTGACTATATTCCCTATGTTGTAGTTTACATCCCATTGGCTATTTTGTAACTACCAATTGTACTTCCTAATCCCTTCACCTTTTACTCCCAGCCCCCCAACCCCCCACCCATCTGGCAACCATCAGCTTATTCCCTGCATCTGGGAGTCTGTTTCTATGTTGTTTCTTTTTTTATTTTGTTCTTTAGATTCCACGTATAAATGAAATTATATGATATTTGTCCTTCTCTGTCTGACTTATTTCACTTAGCATAAATACCTTTCAGGTCCATCCATGTTGTCACAAATGGTAAGATTTCATTCTTTTTTATGGCCAAATAATAATCCATTGTATATACGTACCACATTTTTATCCAGTTGTCTGTCTATGGGCATTTAGGTTGATTCCATATCTTGGCTGTTGTAAATAATCCTGCAGTAAACATAGGAGTGCATATATTTTTTTGAATTAGTGTTTTGGGTTTCTTTGGATAAATACCTGTAAGTGGAATTGCTAGGTCATAAGGTAGTTCTATTTTTAATTTTTTGAGGAACATTTATACTGTTTTCCATAGTGATTGCACCAATTTGCAGCCCACCAACAATGCACGAGGGTTCCATTTTCTCCACATCCTTGCTAACACTGATTTCTTGTTTTGTCAATGATGGCCATTCTGACAGGTGATACCTCATTGCAGTTTTAATTTGCGTTTTTCTGATGATTAGTGACATTGAGCATCTTAAAGTCTATTGGCCATCTGTATGTCTTCTTTGAAGAAATATCTATTCAGGTCTTCTACCCATTTTTTAATCAGGTTGTTCTTTTTGATGTTAAGTTGTGTGAGTTCTTTATAAACTTTGGATATTAATCCCTTATCAGATGTATCATTGGCGAATATCTTCTCCCATTCAGTACGTTGTCTTTCCGTTTTGTTGATAGTTTCCTTTGCTGTGCAAAAACGTTTTAGTTTGATGTAATACCATTTGTTTATTTTTTTATTTCCTTTTACTTTTTTAAAGTAAAAATCTCTTAAGAGGTAATGATTGGCATCTGACTACTATCTAGTTGTTATTGATTAGAAATTTTAAGTTTCTGTTTCCTAAGAGCTATATGAAAAACTATTACACTAAACACACGCCCTCTAAAACAAGATTTCACCCACTAAACCCAGCCTCTTAGAAAGAAGCCTCTCTTTAGCTTTGGGCATATGCCCAGGTCACACTAATCATATTTCATATTTCTAAGAGCTGTTGGGGCCTGTTTATCATCATAACAAACACATAGGAGATGCCTCTTTATGTTTTCAGGCTCCATGCTGGGCCTGGGTGCAGAAGTGCAGCACCAGCCTACTCTCTGTCCTGCTGGCCTTTTAGCCCTGTCATTTAGTCATTCTCGTTAAAGACTCTGGTTAAGTGGGACAGCATAGTGGAGGATGAGTTGGGATTTTAATACAGTTCTTTATCGCAGTAATTCTCACAGTGTGCTGTTGCTTTTAAAAATCTGCTTTGTACCCCAGTAACAATGAGCACACCCAGTGCCCAGATCTTGATTTCTAAATACCATTCTCCGGAAAAGGGAACCAGGGCGCCATAGAGAAATAACTGATTCTAGAGAGGGCTGGGGCAGGGAAAACACAAGATGAACCTGGGGTACCTTGCAGTGCCAGAAAATAAGGTTATGCTAAAAAAACAAAATTAGAAGGGGGACAGGAGAAAAGAAAAAGCATGTAGGCACATCACAAGGATACAGGAGCCAATCTGAGAGAGCTCTAAGTGGCCAAAGCTGCAACAATTTGAACAAAATAAATAACTATAATAATAGATGAAATAAATACCCATGAGTCTGTACTGATTAGATGATTGAATAAATAAAACAGGAGAGAAGAGACCTTCCTCACAGAGTTCCAGTTACTAAAAGTAGAAAGAATGAGGAAAAACAGCAGATCCCAACAAGAAGCACAGTAACTGCTGCTGGCAGAACCCACTGGGGGCTGCTGAATTTGTAGGCAAAATTTTAAAGAGAAATGGGATATATGCGTAACCTCAAAGTATCTTCCCCAAAGTATTTCTCAGTTACTGTGGTAGTTTTAATTTAGTCCACAGATTCTCTTCAGGAGGTGATACTTAATTCCTCACCCCAAAAGCGAGTTGGACCCAGTGACTTATTTGCTTCTAAAGAGTATGGGAAGGGAGAAATAGTAACTGGACAGTAGGAAACCTGGCATCACTGCCGTATGCAAGTGATCAAGGTAAACCCACTAGCAATAGGAGAGACCGATTTCACACATCCTGATATGATGTGACAAAAAGGGCACTTCACCTCTGTACTATTTTCCCTGACACCATGTAAACCTTAGTCTAATCATGAACAAGCATCACACAGACCCAAATTGAGGGACATCCTACAGAATACCTGTGCTCTTCAGAAGTGTCAGGGTCATGCAAGATAAGAAGAGACTGAAGAATCCACACAGATTGAGGGAGACCAAGGAGACGTGATGAGTAAATGCCACGTAGCACCCTGGACTGGATCCTGGAAAAGAAAAGGGATATCACTGGGAAAATGGGAGAAATCCAAATAAAGGCTTAAATTTAAGAAATACCATTATATCAACGTGCAGTTCTTAGTTTTGACAAATGTGAAGTTAATACCAGAGGAAGCTAGGTGAAGGGTGTATGGGAACTCTATGCTTTCTCTGTATCTCTTTGGTAAGTCTAAAATCATGTCCAAACAAAGCATTTGCAGGTAGCTGGGGTTTGTCCTTTTCTGTTGATGCTCCTGACCTGTGGAACCCCTCCTCATTTCAGGGATGATGCAGTGTGTGATTGCTGTCGCAGACAAAGTATTTGACGCCTTCCTGAACATGATGGCGGATAAAGTAAGCCTGTCAGAGCACCAATACATGTATGCCAGAGGCACATGGAGGGCACCTACTGTACCTGTCTCTTCTGACTCTCCAGGCGAAGACCAAGGAGAATGAGGAGGAGCTGGAGAGGCATGCACAGTTTCTTCTGGTGAACTTCAACCATATTCACAAGAGGATACGGAGAGTTGCAGACAAATACCTATCTGGTCTGGTGGATAAGTAAGCTCTTTTTGCTTCTAATGCTGTGTGTGTGTGTATTTGTACATGTGTGTAAACTTTAGATTTGGAATGCATGGAAGGCTCTTCCTCACATTGTCAATTCAGAAACAAATGGAGTTAGAATTAAAACTGTCAAAGGGCAATGTAGCCTCCCACAGAATGTTAGTTTGTTGCAGAATCACAAGCCACAGCCATTCAGTCTGCTCCCATCAGCCCTTAAGTCTGGAGTTCAGGAGTAGCTTTTCTTCACCCCAGGGTGTCATGCAAATACTGCCATTTTCTGTTTGTGCTGTGGTGTGAGAACACTGTGGATCCCTGGTCACAAATGAGGAGGATCACTTGGGGGAATGGGGAGTGCGGCCTTGGCCAGTGCATAGCCAAGACAATCGAGTCATTGGAAGCAGGTTACTTGGGCCTATGTCTGGCCCTCAGGAGCGGGATTGGCAGGAAGGAGCCTGGGGAGCATTTCTGACTGGGTGCCCTACCTTGGAGGTCTCTTGACCTCCTCTGACCCTGAACTGGGCAGCAAGATGTGGGACTCCCAGCCCCGGAGGCAGCGCTTTAAGGAACACAGGTTCCCTGGGGATTTGGCTCCTGGGTCCTTAGAGATGCCTATCCATGCAGGTTTCCCCACTTGCTCTGGAGTGGGACAGTGCTGAAGACCATGCTGGACATCCTCCAGACCCTGTCATTGTCGCTGAGCGCCGTAAGTGCCCCCACCTACCATGTGCCTGAGCCTAATTTGTGCTACATGTGGCAAAATTGGAGCTCGGAAGTCCAGATCCCACCCTGGCCTTTCCTAGTAAGCTGCAGCAAGTTTGGAAGCCTGTCACAAACAGGACAAGTAGTGGGTAGGGAGGCACACACTCTGCCACTTAGCGTGGCTGGAGGTGCAGCTCGGCAGGGGCCAGGGCAGCTTGGGGAAGGCTGTTTAAAAAGGGAGTCCTGTTGTACTTTCAGGATATTCACAAGGATCAGCCTTACTACGACATCCCTGATGCCCCCTATCGGATCACTGTTCCTGACACGTATGAAGCCCGAGAGGTAGGCCTGGAGCGGTCCCCTTATTAAGGGTCATTTCACTGCCATCTCCTGTGTCTGTCAGGACTGGCATTTTTCCGTACATTATGTCACTCAATCCCCAGCAGTTTCAGGTGTGAGTCCCACAGTTGCTGGTATCACATGATTTGAACAGGTAACTCACTTAGCCACTCATCTGAGCTGACTCTCACTTCTTTTCTTGGTTCATCTGCCAAAGAGGTTTTAGCTACCTGTCAGTTTATAGTATCTCAAAGCTACATGAGCAACATAGCTTTGAGATGAGCGTCATTGCTCTGAGATGTGCTGGCTCCCTTTTTTTATTGTGGGAGTAGAGTAACGTGGTTCCGCTTTGTGCTGTGCTATGGGAAACTGACGGAGTAAAAAGCTCCAGATGAGGGTGTGTCATGCCAGGTCTGACTCAGAGCCCTCATTGTGACAGCTTGAAGCCCAGCTCAGACTGGAGCTCCCCCAGCCTTAGGCTGGTCACGTCCAAACCTCGGCACCCCCCCAAACCGGTTGCCAACAGGGAGTTCCCCATGCAGTGATGAGGCTCCTGTGATAACTTTTACCTTCCTGGACCTTCCTTCCCCGTCAGTTCACTGACTCAGGACATATGTTGCACAGTGGCTGTGTGTGGCTCTGTGAGTGCGGGCTCTGTCACACAGCCTCATGCAAGAATTACAGACTGAGATCTACTGCACCCAGTAGCCTTGGCATTAGAACACAGTCCCTGTGTGAGTTTGCTAGTGCTGACATAACAAAGTACCACCGACTGCGTGGCTTAAACACCAGAAATGTATTTTCACACATTTCCGGAGACTAGATCAAGGCATTGGCAGCAGTAGTTTCTTCTGAAACCTCTTTCCTTGGCTTGCAAATGGCTACCTTCTCCGTGTGTCCTCACATGGGCACCCCTCTATACATGACCACGTCCTGATCTGCACTTCTTATAAGGACACCAGTCTTCTTGGATTAGGGCCCACCACACTGACCCCATTTTAACTTAATCACCTCTTTAAAGACCCCCATCTCCAAATACAGTTACATTCCAAGATGCTGAGCCTTAGAGCTTCAACACATGGATTTGGGTGGACACAATTAGGCAATAACGTAACTATCCACAGTATGCTGGTGGCCGTCCTCTGACAGCCCAAATACACTGACCTTGGCTTGATCACACCCTCTTCCAGAGCATCGTGAAGGACTTTGCTGCACGTTGTGGGATGATTCTACAGGAGGCGATGAAGTGGGCACCTACAGTCACCAAGTCCCACTTACAGGTACTTCCCTGAAATCATCAAAAAGCAATCTTGATAAGTTTTTTCAAACCACCCAAAGAGCTTTACACAAATTGAATACAAACAGCACTAATGTGAATAAACAGACCAAAAACATTAGTCTAGTGCCTGAGAATAATAGAAGCATCAGAAGCTGATCTGCATTAGCACTTTGGTGGGGCGGGGGGTCGGGGAGGGGGCGGCAGAGCCGGGGGGGTCATTGAATGTGCTGATTGGGGTGAGGAGAACTGGTGTGGTGGGATCCATGTGCAGGTGGCCCCAGGGGAACCTGATGACTCATACAGGTGAGGCATTGGGTCTATGGCAGGACTCGGGGCTGCTTGCAAGATGGGCAGGGGCAACACAGTGGGCTGGGAGGTCTGGCAGGTCAGCAGCAGCAATTGCAGCAGCTCCAAGAGCACAGTGCAAGGACTGAAGTGATGATCTTGAAGCAGAGGCGGAGCTGGGACTCGTGTGTTAGAGCGCCATCTAGGCTACATTTGTAGCTGCAAGTGAGTCCTTTCGGACCAAAGCACTGGCTTGTAAATGAGAATCACTACAAGGGGGACCATTATTCTGAAGAGTGCTCAAGCAGAGATGGAACAAAAATGCCACAATATGTGAGAGGAAAGAGTCGCCCTAAAAGGGATCAAAGATAAGAAAAATGCCACTAGAAGAAATCTGGCTTAACAAAGAGCAGGTGTGTTGAGAGGCGCTTGTGAAATCGGCATCAGCAACACTTGTCAAGATAAAGCTAGTTCTAAAACGTTTCTGGGTGTGGAATCCAGGACGGGTAGAACAGCTAGCTCCAAGAGCCTTGGAGGCTATTTGGAAATGCATTTTGCAAGAATCCGTGGATTGTGCCTGAAGTCACTGTAAAGTTTCTCTTTCTACAAAGATGTTGGAGTAGTGGGGATGGGAGATATTAGGGGAATGAAAAAAATGGAGCCCTGCATTAAATAGGTCTACCAGCTAAGCTGGACAAAACTGGGCCTTGTGACTAAGCCATGCCTGAAACTTGACTTTGTAGCTCTCTAGTATATATGCTAGTATTCTACAGACTGTAGTAGTTTCTCAAACTTCATATTTGGGAAATGTCTGATTTCTTTTGGTTAACATAGTGGGAAGGGGCCTTACCTGCTAAAGCTTCAGTCTAAAGAGGAGAAGACCCATTTTATTCCTAAAAGGGATTGGTGGACAAAAATGAGGTCAATAGAGAGCTGTTTATTTCCTCAGGCCTGGTCTAGAAGGAAGTAGAAAATGAAAAGGCTTGAAATATTCTTGATACTTTCACCAGGCATCCCCTTGGTGTCACCTGAGGCCCTCAGTATCCCTTCTTCCTGCACATCTAGTCTGTCTAAACCCTCACCCCACCAGCCGTTCAGCTGTCACTGCCTGAGGCTTCCTTCCTACAGCCTCAGCTAGCCCAGAACCAGCTTCCACGCCGCCCTCCACACTGGCTCAGTTTCAGTAGCAAATCTGCTCAGTACCTCCCTGCTACATGTGCTCGTTAGCCATTCCTCATCACCATGGGGTCCGTGGTTGGGTTTCTGGGGTTCCAGGAATCCTCTAAAACCATTAGTGAGCTTTTGTGTGTCAGTGCTCATATGCATTTTCCTGAGGGGAGTTACATGATTCTCTCTAAACTCACCCGGCACACAGGGCCTTTTGGCTTAAACTTACCCACTGCCATCTTGCTCCTTGTATTTCTGCAGTTTTGACCCCCGAGGGGCCCCAGAGTACGAGGTCTCCCTCACACCTCCAGGCTTTGTCAGGTGTGCCTCTGCCCCTGCACCCCCATCCACCAGTTGGCCAGGCGGACTCAGGCACTTGCTCTGCCTTCCTGCTCTGTGACACACTGCCCCTAGAAGCGGAGCTCTGCAGCCGTCTCCCCAGCACTGGCAAATAGCAGATGTTCCCAAGGATGTGCTAAGAAATGAGCAGTCCTCCCACATTTACTGTGTGCCAGCTGCTCCGGGGACCAGCTTCATCCTTGTTCACATGGGAGCAGCAGCCAGTCAGAGAGGGGCTCTCACTGAGGGTCTTGCAGTTGCCGGGAGGGGGAGGACTCAGCACTAGAACCAGTGTTTGCTCGCTACCTCATACTTCAGCATTTGGAATGTTATTTTTAAAGTAAAATGGCATTTTTCTCTGTTTCAGGAATATCTGAACAAACATCAGAACTGGGTATCAGGACTGTCTCAGCACACAGGGCTGGCCATGGCCACTGAGAGCATCCTTCACTTCGCTGGCTACAACAAGCAGAACACGACCCTCGGGGTACGTGTGAGCGCCTTCAACCATGGGAGCCCGTGTGGTGGGGAAAGGCCAAAGCTGATGTGTAACTTTTCATGAAAGCCACCTGGGTACCACATGCTGCATGTGTGAGGGGCACTTGAAGTGTCTGTGAGAGATCCCCAGGTTCAGAGAAGAGCTGATCAGTAAAGCAGTCATTTTCCTTACTCTGCTTCTGTTTTGAAAATATGGATTGATGGAGATCTCAGCTTGACTCATTAATGAGATCAGATTTGGATTTCTGCAAATCCACATCCATGAGGAAGAAAACTGACCTCTGGTTATACACATTCAGCATCATTTTATAGTCACCTTGATCTGAAATGTTTGACAACTTCCTAATAATCCTCTATTCAGTAGATGCTGATTTGTGCACATCTTCAGCCTCATCTTGTTCTGCTCAAGATTAACGTAGAGGGCAACATGCCCCTGTCCATTTAACTCAGAAAGCACAACTAAGTAGTGCTTTCTGAGTTAAATTAGAGCCTAAGATCAAAACAGGGGCTTGACCACAGGTGGTCTGACTGGAACAGTGCTCTTGGGCATCTCCCACCCCCAGGACCCAGCGCAGGGCCTCAGTCAGTCCTCCGAACCCACCGTGGCTATGTGTGCTTTTGGTGCTTCCTAACTCTCTTTGGGTAGGATAGGGGGAGGCTTCCCACTTGTCTTTTAAGGACACGGTATGTTGGAGGTGCAGTGGCTGAGCATCAGGGAGGGAAGGCAGCAGGGAGCCCTGCCACTTGGGAGGAAAAGGAGAAGGATACTTTTTATTGTGTGTTCTGGCTGTTGCTGTGCTAGCGCTCCCGGCCTAGCCGCCCCTGCTCCATAAAAAACAAAGAGTCTTCAGGCCCCAGGGTGACATCTCCCCATCATATTGATAGGATTGGGGTCTTGTAGGGGGTCATTTCAGAAGTGTGATTTTAGGCCAGCAGATTGTACCACCCAGAGAACTGAGTCAGAAAACCTCGACAGGGCCATCCGCCACACTTTTTGGTGCTTTAGGCATGCACGCGAGTCACAGCGTGCATGAGGGAGCTGGCCTGCCCAGTGGCCCACCAGGGTCTCACAGCTGATTGGTGGCAGAGTCAGGTTCCAGTGCAGGCCTGCTTGATGCCGAAAGCAGTCTCCAAAAAATATGAAGCAGTTTTAAGTAAACTTTTTTTTAATAAACCACTTAAAGTTTTATGAAAAAAACATGTTTTTGTTCTCACTTATATTTTGATTTTTCTCAAAAAATTTTTCCTCCTAACTCTCATTACCCTGCCCCAATAAAATTCTCAATATTCCAACGATTGAGAAATTTGTTTTCCCCGAGAGTATCCGTATGTCAAGCATTGGATAGGTTGTGTTGGTTTGTAGTAAAAGGCACTAAAGGGAAATGGGGATGGTCATGCATGTTGGTAGTGTTTAGTGACGTTGGGCAGAACAGTGGGCAGCCAGCGTTAGGGAGAGGAGTCCCTGAGACCCCCAGTCCTGGAGGGGTGGGAGAGGGGCTGAGAGCTGAGGCTAAAATAAAGGCAGTGAGGGGACGCGTGATTTGTATGTTTTCCCCATTCTGTGGGTTGTCTCTCTACTCAGAGTGTGCCCCTTTTGTCTTGTGCTGTGAGCAGGGAGTAAATGTTACAGAGCCCCTGTGTCTCTGTCACTGCTCTCAACTTCAGTCACCCTCTGCCATCTTTAAGTCACATTTGCACACCAGCACCAGCCGCAGAGGGGACATCCCATGAGCATCAACTCACAGTATTTCCGTTGCGGATTACAATGATTTTCACAACAATCTGGAAAGGCCCGTTTGCCCTCGCCCTCGGTGTGAAAGTAGTCAGGACAGCAAGGTGAAGCCACAGTACAAGCTGCCTCTCCAGAGAAATATTTTGTACTAAAAATTTTTCTTAATCTCTTTTCCATGGGACATATCAGAATAGAGGGAATTCTAAAGTATTTCATTTTATTAACTTGCCAGCACTGAAGATTTTAAATGACTCCTGAATCCGAACTTGATTTCTTAATTAGACTTAGGTTTAGCCATGGTAAACATGAAAAAGACACGTTGCGAAGGTCTGAAGTAATTCTTGATAATTTGTCCGTAGGCAACTCAGCTCACCGAGCGCCCGGCCTGTGTAAAGAAAGATTACTCCAACTTCATGGCGTCCCTGAATCTGCGCAACCGCTACGCGGGCGAGGTACTTCTGTCCCTGTGTCCAGGGCCCTTTGTAGTGTCCTCTTGTTCTGATGCCAGTCAGTTTCTTCCCAGTGGAAAATGAATGAGCGGTCTGGTGAATGTAGAACTCACTTATTTTAGGTAGATGTGAAGGCCTGGAGCCCCAAGAACATCAGCACAGTCTGGAGCATTTATGGCAATTGTTCACTATACTGGCTACACTGAAGCATTCTGTTTTTCTGGCTTTTTTTTTTTTTAAGTGATAGCAAACATTTATTGAGCGCGTTATCTGGGGCAATTGTAAGGTATACATTCCGTTATTCCAATTTTACAGATAAAGAAACTGAGGTTTCTAAGATTAAGTAACTTACCAAAGTCACCCAGGCAGAGCGGGATCAAGAGCCACATCTGACCATCATGAGGGCTTTTGTCCACCATACCATAGTTTGTCTCAGCCTGACAAGTTGCTTCACCTCTCTGGGCCCCAGTTTTCTCATCTGTAAAACATAGGAGCTAGCCTACGCCATTTCAGAGGTTCCTGAAAGTCTGTCGGTGGCCTGGTTTAAGTGAGGGACTTACTCCCCACCAAGAGCTCTGCAACTTGCTTATTCCAACAGTCACTCTTCCCATAAGCCCCGGCAGTGGAACCCATTGCCCCCCTCAGCTGCCACTGACCCTGCATTCCCAGTGATCACAAATCGCTCTGAGGGTCTCTTCCATGTTTTGGTTATGGGATGTCTGTTTTTGTGGGTAGATTTGGTTTTGGAAGTGGTCAGATCTCCTCTGTAGTCAAGTCTTTTAAAAAAATTCTTGGGGAAAAAAAAAGTATGACTTTTCAAATAATGAGGCTGATCTTTCTGTTTGAGTCACTGATTGATTCTGAAGGAACTTTATTCAGCCCATGTTCATGCAGCCCTACATGGGCCAGACCCCAAGCTCAGTGCTAGAATACAAAGATAACAGGACCAGGTCCCTGCCCTCAAGGACCATCCGGTATGGTAGAAATGCCAACACATATTTTTAGAAGAGGTTCCCCAAAAGCTGTGAGCAGTGGTAGCATTGTTGACATCATCCTGGATTTAGGACAGCGAAGCATCCACCAGTCTTGCCTCAGGCACAGTTAGGTGGCTGCCAGCGTCTCGCCCATGTGTCTAGATTACTTCTGCCTGTGCTGACATGCATGCTTCTTGCAGGTGTATGGAATGATTCGTTTCTCCGACACCACAGGCCATATATCTGATCTCAACAAAATGATGGTCCAAGAGCTGAACACAGCGTTAGACCTTGGGAGTCCGCAGCACTACACTCAAGCCATGTTCAAGCTGACGGCGATGCTCATCAGCAGCAAAGGTGAGGGACCTCTGGGCTCATTTGTTAAGAGAGTATTTGATTTGCCTTCATCATCCTTAGTGAGATGGAGTTCTGATTAAAGAAACAGCTGGAGCTCCCCCAGTGGAGACCTTTGTGCCCTCTCTGGTTGGTGAAAGTAAATAAAAGGCCATCGTTGGCATAGCCAATGCTGTTTTGCTGACCCAGGGAGATCGTGGGTTCAGCCCATGTTCGAGGCCTCTGAACAGTGTGTGTTTGGTTCTAGATTGTGACCCACAGCTCCTCCATCATCTGTGTTGGGGTCCCCTCCGGATGTTCAATGAGCATGGCATGGAAACTGCCTTGGCCTGCTGGGAGTGGTTGCTGGCCGGCAAGAATGGAGTGGAAGTGCCGGTAGGACACCGATGGCAGTCTGCTCTTGAGGGCGGGGCAGAGTGAGAGATGGAGGGACTTGTCCTGGCTCCTCAGCTGACAAGCCTGAGGACTCCAGGAAAGCCTCTCAGCTTCTAGGGCCTCAGCCTCCTTCTGTGTAAGATTGTAATATTAATGCCTGACTACAGGACTGTCATCATGACTAGGGGGAATATAGGTTAAAAGCATCCCTTTGGTGCCCAGAAGCTGTTATTTTTCCATAGCTCAGTAGGGGGAGCCATTTCTCTGAGATTGGAACACCTGTCAACATGCAGTTGTCTGTCCACAAGGATGTTTCTCTGAGCCTGCTAACTTTGGGAGGAACAGCCTTCCTGTGTCCCTTTTTCTGAAGTTGCTGCTGGAGGGGACCCACAGGGAAAGTCCTGTCTGCCCTTTCAGATGATTGGATGAATACCTAAGAAGAGTTTTATTTTTCAAAGATCCAGTTAATTTTCATGGTAACGGAATTTGATGTGTTTTTTCTGTTTCTTAAGATCAGTTAAGTGGTCAAAGGAGTGTTTTGTTTTTCTTGTCCTCTGAGGAAAATTGGAATATTTCCAAAGATGGAATTAGAATGTTCCAGGCAAGTGGTGATGGCAGTAATCATAATACTTCACATTTGCGTGGTATTTTATAACTGTGTGGAGTTTGTGTCGGGCACACCAGTCAGAGTTTGAGGAAAGGTTTTGGTCCAGTTGTCTTCTGTGGGAGATTAGTAAACTTCGTCAGGGAGAGGCACTTGCCCCTGCCTCTCAGAAGAATCGATTAGGGCCTTGGGCTTACCAGGAGTGTCAGGACCCTTTCCGTATGGAACTAAAGTGTGCACGGGTTCTCAAGGCGGCCAGCTCTGCTGTCATCAGAGAGTATGCAGAAGGGCCTAAGGGAGTCACACTGCAGCCTGCAGGGCTCTGACCCCAAAGCAGTATTCCTTATCTGTATAATGAGAATAATGAGAGCATTTATGGCATAGAGTTGCTGTGAGGATTAAATGACTATATTCACCTCTCAGGCCAGGAACAGTGCCTAGCTCATATTAAGCTATCGGTAAGTGCTAACTGCTGTTGTGGTGGCGGCTGTTGTCATTACCAGGCAGAGGATTCTTCAGTGACAGCTGTACACCATTGCCATCATATACAACCATTTTCTCCCTGTCATCTGTTATGTTTTATTTTCATTTATTTTACTATTCCATTTGCTATACACCTTATTTATTTTTTCTAATAGTCAAAAACCTTCCAAAAAAATTAAGAAAAGGATTTTTTAAGGCTTAAGTATTCAAATATTTCCCATTTCTCACATTCTTCAATCTTCTGTATACCCAAATTTGCCCAAAGAACTTCCTTTAGCGTTTCTTGTAGTGCATCTTCATTTTTTATGCATCTGGATATTTTTCCTGGCTCTAGGATCCTAAGTTGATAGGTTGTTTTGTTGTCATTGTTGCTTTTAGCACGTTAAATACATCTCCTAATGTTTTCTGGCTTGCATTGTTTCTGGAGAGAAGTCAGCAGTCGTCATTATCCTTGTTTCTCAGTGTATGTTATTTGCATTTTTTTCTTTCTTTGGCTAATTTTAGGATGTTGCCCTTTATTTTTGATTTGTAGTAGTTTGCCTGTTATGTGTCAACATGTGATATTCTGTGTATTATCCTGTTGGGATTCATTTAGCTTCTAAATTTAGAGACGTAGGATTTTTCGTCAAACTTGGAAATTTTAGGACAGTATTTCTTCAAATTTTTTTTTTTGCCCCAATTTCTCTTATTTTGAGATTCTAGTTACATATATGTAATGAGTTGATATTGTCCCATAGGTCATTAACATTCTCTTCAGTCATCTTTTCCCCTCTGTTTCATTTCGGTTCATTTTAATTGGCCTGTCTTCCAATTCACTGATGTTTTTTTCTGCCTTATTCATTCTGTTGGTAAGCCGTTTTATATATTTTTTTTAATTTCAAATATCATTCTCAAATTTAGGATTTTTATTTCTTTTATATAGTTTGTATTTTCTGGTGAGAGTCTGTGTATCTTTTCTATTCTTTACATCTGTACCTGTATAACTTTGTATTATAATTACTGTTAAGTTCTTGTCATGTCTGTTAGTTCTAGTATCAGGGTCATCTATGAGTTGGTTTCTGTTGACTTTTCTTTAATGTTTTAAAATTTCCGATTGTGTACTAGATATTATGTGTAGAAAAGCAGTGGAGACTAGGGAGCCCTACTGATTTATTTTCAGAGAATTGGTCTTATGTCAGGTGGTTAAAATGAAGATTACTTCCCCTTGCCCCCAAGGGGCTAGTCTTAGCAAGAAAGAAGCATGGGTTCTTCCTGCTTTTCACCCCACTTTCACTTCCATTTTTTCTTTTCAGCAAAATTAGGAAGAGCAGTCATGGAGGGATTTTTATGTCAAGCAAATTATTGTTCTGTTTGGGGTCTTTCAGATTCTAGTCTGTCTCCCCTGCCATCACCAGTAGCTGTGCTGGCTTCAGGTCACTCAGCCTTTGGATGGCCTTGTCCACCCACTTGTACCCAGACCCAGCACTGGCCCACAAGCTGCCAGGGCTCACAGCTTTCCTCATCCACCACTCTTCAACAGTCTGACAGGTGTGTGTGCGCGTGTGTGTGTGTGTGTGTGTGTGCAGTCTGACAGGTGTGTGCGCGTGCGTGCGCGTGCGTGCCTCTGTGCGTGCGCGTGCGTGCGTGTGTGTGTGTGTGTGTGTGTGTGTGTGTGTGAGTGTGTGTGTGTTATCCAGGTCTTTCTTGCTATTAGCTCAGGATTGAAGGCCATCTGTTTTCCTCTGACTCCCCACCTCTGCCTGTGCGAGGGCCTCCTGTCCAGGCCCAGCAGCACCCGGCAGGCTTTTCTACTTTTATTCTGTGTCTTTTATGTGTTGGATTCCAGTTTTTAATCTTTTTAATTATAAAAACAATATATGCTTATTATGGAGAAGTTGGAAGGTATGAGCCTAATGAAAAAAAAATCATCTATAACCCTAGCTTCAGAAGCAGTTGCTGATGGTATTTTGATGCCTTTTGCATTCATGGGGTGATAAAGAGGTAGTAAGCTTATTGATCTCATTTCAGTATTAGGACACTTCTTGTGAGGGTCTGGAGCCTTTATTCACTAAGGTAGAAAAGAACCCTGATCTCTTGGTACAGTGCTCAAATTCATGACTCATTAATTTTTTTAATTTTTTAACTTTTATTTTTACGCCTACAGCACCCAGTCTTCCTAGGTGGTCTCCCATCCAAGTACTAACCAGGCCCTACCCCGCTTAGCTTCCGAGATCAGACGAGATCGGGCGTGTTCAGGGTGGCATGGCAGTAGACTTCCAATCTCTTTAAATGTAATCCTTCCCTCTGTTCAGACAAAATCTTTACAGCCATCTCTGACTCCCCTTTTCATACTCCCACAAATGATCCTCGGCAAATCTTGTCAGATTTACCTTTTACCTTGAAGTGTATATCCAGAAACTGGCCACTTCCCATATCCCAGCTGCTGCCCCCTGGCCCTAGCCTCCTTTGCCTCTCTCCTGGAATAGGGAGGCAGCCCCTGGCCTCCCTGCTTCTCCCTGTCCCCTCTCCACCTTCTCCATACACAGTCAAAGTGAGCCAGTAAAACGTGGGTTAAATCAGGTCCCTCCCTTGCCCCAGATCTGTCAGTGCCTTCGTGTGCTAATGCAGAGTAGAAGGCAGATTTGTTTCTGTGAGCTGCAAGGCCCCTGTGCACCTCAACTTTGTTTCCCTCTGCTTCCCTTGCTTACCCCACCATAGGCACAGTTGGGTCCCTGCTGCCTCTGCCCTTTGATCATGCTCCCGCATCTCCTCCAGGGCTTGTCTTAGCTGTCTCCTGCCCACCCTATCTGAAATGTCACACAAACACACCCAGTCACTCTTCCAAGCCCCTTCATAGCTGTTTTCCCCTTGTCAGAGATCGGTGTCCAGTGTCTGTAGCTTGCTTCTCTTGTCTGTGGCTTTACCATAGTCTGGGTGGACATGTTTGTCTTCCTTATGCACCATTTCCAGAGCCTAGAAGGCTCTGGCCCAGAAGCAGCAACCCGGATGTATTTGTTGAACAAATGAATGGGTATGCGGCCTCAGCTGTGGCTCATTGGCCCAGGTGGCCCCACGGTTTTTTCTTCTATCCTAACACTTATATGTGGCAGCAGGAAACAGAAACCGGGCACAGGACCTTGATCACTAAGAGTTCATCTTCTTCATGTTGCAGGCAGTTTGTTGATATCCCAGCCCCTTGTCTGCGACTCTGCCACCTTTAGCGTGTGGACTTTGTCCTCACCCTCACAGCCTCCAGATGGCTTCTGTGCCTCCAGGCAGGAAGGAGGGCAGAGGGCCAAGGCAAGCACCTCCCGCCCTTCTTCCACAGGGCCTCACCTAGTTGATGCTCACCTGCTCATTAATGCTAATGAGAACCTGTGGCCACCCCAATCAGCAGAGGCCTGGATGAGGGTACCTGTGACTGGTTACTCGGCCACCCACACAAAACCATAGGAAGGAGGGGATGGATCCAAGCCTCAGTTGTGTCAGGCCAACAGGGAAGACTGCTCCCTGCAGAACCTCTTGCCTAGCTCAGTGGCAGTTGCAGCCTCCACTCGCCTCTCGTGGTTATTCGTCAGCCCAGTTAGCGGCATGAAGGCATTGTACAGGGTTTGTGAGGGGTGGAGAAAAGAAACTAGTTTCTGGACCAGAATCTGGTCCTGCCTTTGCCAGGTCAGAGCCTGCCATCATAAAACAGGACACACAGAACAGAACGTGGCCTGGCAATAATAGTTCAAGAAAGTGCTTATTGCTAAAAAAGGTGGGAAGTGGGATCATGGATGATCTTTATTTTAATTCATACTTTGTTCGGTTTTCTAAATGTTGTTCAGTGAGCATCTATCCTTTTTATAATTAAAAATAATTAACACATTTCCGTGCTTTACGAGGAGCTAACAGTCGTGTATTTGCAGTTTATGCGAGAGATGGCAGGGGCCTGGCAGATGACAGTGGAGCAGAAGTTCGGCCTTTTTTCTGCGGAGATAAAGGAAGCAGACCCCCTGGCAGCATCGGAAGCCAGTCAACCCAAACCTTGTGCTCCCGAAGTGACCCCTCACTACATCTGGATTGACGTATGTGCCTAGGCCCCACTGCTCCCCCAGGCTCAGCTGTGCTCTGCCCACTCTAGCTGCAGGGGCCTGGCTCAGTGAGCACAGGGACCCGGGGTTATGACTGTCTTACCTAGGGGCCCTCGGTGGTGCCAGCCTTCTCCCCAGGCCACTACCAACCTCTCCCTGCTTCCCTCAGTCCCTGACCCACCCTCCTGAGCTCAGAGCACCTCAGCTGATGACACTGACCTCAGGGTAGGCCGGTGGGCCCCAGCACAGCAGCATGTTCTCCTCCCTGCTCAGTTCCTGGTGCAACGGTTCGAGATTGCCAAGTACTGCAGCTCTGACCAAGTAGAGATCTTCTCCAGCCTGCTGCAGCGCTCCATGTCCCTGAGCATCGGCGGGGCCAAGGGGAGCATGAACCGGCATGTGGCGGCCATCGGGCCCCGCTTCAAGTGAGAGGTTCTCCTTCTCCTTGGGGTGGTGGCGCTGAGTTGCTGGTACTATGGGCATTTTCCACGGGGGTTTCCTGTGGTTGGTCATTTTTTAGCAGAAAACGACCAAGTCTCCAGTATGTGCAGGGCTCCTGGTAGGTGCTGAGTTGCTGGTACTATGGGCATTTTCCACAGGGGTTTCCTGTGGTTGGTCATTTATTTAGCAGAAAATGACCAAGTCTCCAGTATGTGCAGGGCTCCTGGTAGGGAAATCTGGACACGAATGGCCTGGCCCACTGCATCCTGCAGAGCTGGGGCAGTTGGGCATCGTTGTGTCCACAGCAAGGGAGTGTCCAAGAAGCTGGTTCATTCAAGGGCTTGGAGCACCCAAATGTTGGGCAGCCTTTCTAAATCGGTTGGGGTGGGTGGCAGCAAAATGTCACCATTCTAGTGACAAAGTGGTGAGTAAAAATCAGCAGGTTGTATGACAAGCTCAGGCTAGGGGTCCACTCTGAGATGTCCACAGAAAATTTCTGATTATGCTGACTACATACAAAGCCCTGGGCAAAACATCAGACACACCAAGGGAGGACACATAATTTCCTTCAGGACATGTGGCCTGGTGAGGGTCCTCAAGCTAGGTGCTGTGACCAGGGTTGGGTGCTCTGGACACAATAGGAGGGGCCAGACTGACATAGAGAGGGACCTGAGCTGGGCCTGCAGGTGCTTGTGTGGTCAGACAGAGGGAAGGTACGGAGCCCCTCACTGGGGTATGCCCCTTCTCTTGCCTGTACCCCTTCCTGCTGCCCAGCAGTGACACTAGCTCTGTCTGCCCCTCCCCTGAGCTCTAGACCCGCTGGGCACTCCCCACCCCCAGGACCATGCTTCTCAAACCACTACTGAGAAGAGCTAGTTCTCTTTCTCCCTAATTTTAATGTCATGGACCTATTCCTTTATCAAATACAATGAAAATGAATTACTAGAAAAGGATCCACACTGGACTATCATAGCAATGTGAAATTGTGGTGGAAATGAGCAGGTGCTCCCTCTTCATTCCCATACTTACCTCGTCACAGACCAGCATGCACCTGGCAGAAACCAGATGCTTGGTAGATTACTTCTTTTTAACTTTAATTAAATGTTCTACCTTTGTAGCACCTGTAAGTGACTACATTTCAGGGAGTAGTTTCCAGATAGTTTTTAGACGGGAGCTTCTGGCCAAGGCAGATTAACACACACATTGTTCATTTTTCCCCAACAAAAGTGAAGGTTTAAGGAAAACCTTTCCTGAGACATTTTGGGTACAGCAAACCTGTGAATGGTAATTAGCGGCTGTTAGTGCGGTCCTGGCACCCTAGAGCTCTGTCATCTGGAGATGTGCCCTAAGCCCAAGACCCTAGTGGTTTGCAGAAGAGGCAGGGACCCCTCGGAGGTTTGTCACAGGCCATGTGACTCTGACTCATTCCCATGCTCTCTCGTAGACTGCTAACCCTGGGGCTATCCCTTCTGCACGCCGACGTGGTTCCAAATGCAACCATCCGCAATGTGCTCCGTGAGAAGATCTATTCGACTGCCTTTGATTACTTCAGGTACTCCCTTTATTGTGCCATGCCCAGCTCAGACAGTATCCCCTGTTGTCCCTGACCACTAGAAGTCACAGGAGAAAATGGTTTACCTGGTTTATGCCACCAACTTCATTCAGCAACCCTGATGAGGATTTGAATATCCTCAACCCTGTGCTGTGTACTTAGCCCTATGAGATGAACAACAATTTAGTTCAGTTGACTTAAGGAATGAAATGCATCCATTTAACTTCCTAGGCGACAAATGGTTATTGCACAAATAATTGCAAATACTTGCCTCCTGGGGCTTTGCAAGTGTAGGTGGTGATGTTGTAGGTAGACAGCTGCAGTTGTACAATCTACCACAAGCATGCCATTCAGCCAAGCGCTGAAGACATTGCTGATTATAGTGGTGGAGGCGGTCACCACAGGGCTCAGAAAATCATCACACTTTACTGTGAGGGTTAATGAGATACTTGTTGCCGATGACGAGCCTTGGGTAACCTCTTGTCACTAAGAGATCATTGCTATCGCCTCTCATTGCTTTATAATATGCTGCCTTCTAGTCCCTGACTCCAGGCACTCAACTCTTGTCTTCTTGTGGTTGTTTGAAGTTGTTCCCCAAAGTTCCCTACTCAAGGAGAAAAGAGGCTGCGTGAAGACATCAGCATAATGATTAAATTTTGGACTGCCATGTTCTCAGATAAGAAGTACCTAACAGCCAGCCAGCTTGTTCCCCCAGGTAAGGGTTGTTCTGAGCAGTGCAGCTGCTCACAGTGGTGGAAGCTGAGGCATGGGGTGGAGGGTGGTAAAGGATGGAGGTGTGCCAGGGTCAGCCTTGAAGGAGCCGGGTCAGAAGAGCAGTTAGGGCCCAGCCGTGCCTTGGCTTTGGCCTTGCTACACAGTCACCAGAGGCCCAAAGCCTGCCTGGCCACCACTTCTCCAGCCCCAGCTGAGCAGCATGAGTAAGCCCACGAGGCTCTGAGCAAATGCTACTCAATGTAACTTCTTCCAGCACCAGCTCTGTTCACCCACTGCATATCTGATTAGAGACAATCAAGTAGACAGGTGGTTCGACAGGAAGGAATCATGGATGCACCCCTCAAGGATAGGCACTTGGCCCACTGGAGTTGGGGAGCTGGGGATAGTTTTCTAGAAGAGGTGATAATGTGAGCTGAGTTTCTAAGGACAAATAGAATCTAGCCAGTAAAGAAAAGATGCTGAAGTGTAATCAAGTAGCAAACCTCTAGAAGGAAACCATGTTCTTGTTTCTCTAAGCTCAGAGCTGATCCCACACCGCAAATTAGAGATGAGACTTCTGCTCTCAGACCTGCACCTGACAACCTGACTGCCAGGAAAAGAAAAGAAAAATGAAATTGCAGGCACAGTAATTTCCTAAGTCAGCTTCCTGGCTCCACTTAGAACAGGGCAAACAACCCTTATCATCTGCCCCGACGAGTCCTCAAATTATTACTGTATTAAAAGACTACATGATCCTGGAGATCAGATAACTGCCTTCATTTATCAAGATCACTACTATATTTGTTTTATTCTATTTTAACAGCTAGGAGGACTATAATAAATTTTAGTAAGTTTTTCATCTAGAATGGTGAAATAAAGAACTTCTTGGATGTCTAGGTTAGTTCTGCAAAGCTATCGTCGACTGTGTCTCCCCCTCCATGGTCCTCCACTGATTACCTTATCTCTGGTGAAAATCCAGACACTTTATTCTAGTAGCAATAATGTGTTTGCCCACAGATAACCAAGACACTCGGAGCAATCTGGATATAGCGGTTGGCTCTCGCCAACAGGCCACGCAAGGCTGGATCAACACCTACCCTCTATCCAGCGGCATGTCGACCATCTCCAAGAAGTCAGGTCAGTTGAAGGTGTGCCAAAAGATCCCTCAGGTCTAAGTCACATCCTGGCGGCTCAGATGGTAGACAGAGCACTGAAAGACAGCTTCCCCTGGGTTCTAGAAACGAAAGACAGACCAGAGACCTCCAAAGAACACATGTATGGCTCCTCTTTCCTTCCCAGGCATGTCCAAGAAAACCAACCGGGGCTCCCAGCTGCACAAGTACTACATGAAGCGCAGAACACTGCTCCTGTCTCTGCTGGTGAGGCACCGCCCACCACACACCCAAAGCCCCAGGAGGGGCAGGGAAGGGAGCAGAGCAGCATATGGGGGCAGAAGTTTCCATCATCTGTCTCATCTCACCAGGCCACCGAGATTGAGCGTCTCATCACCTGGTACAACCCGCTGTCGGCCCCAGAGCTGGAGCTGGACCAGGCTGGGGAGAACAGCGTGGCCAACTGGCGGTCCAAGTACTTTAGTTTGAGTGAGAAGCAGTGGAAAGATAACGTGAACCTCGCCTGGAGCATCTCTCCTTACCTGGCCGTGCAGCTGCCAGCCAGGTGAGCCCAGGTCACACCTGCCTGACAAGGGCCTTGCCAGAGGTCCAGTGTAAGGGGGCCTGAGCAGGGAGGAGTGTGCAGTGTGTCACTGCCAAGGACAGTCAGGGAAGTGATCTAAGCAGGCTGGTCCTCTGTACATTCACCCCGCACAGACGCCTACAGGGTGTCCCAACCCCTGGAGCCCAAGGAGGCCACATCGGCACATTCAGGGCTCCGGTTTTATTCAAGGAAGAAAGAAGTACATAGAGGCTGCCACTCCATGGAGGTGTCCTGGGGAGGGTTTGGGTTTGTTCCAGGATGTCATCTTTCAGTGGCAGGCTACTCGGAGGAGGCAGCCAGCCACTGAATGTACTGTGAACTCTCCTATGAAAGTCTTACAGGGATAGAACTCTTAGATCAGTGGTAGCTGAGAGGGACTTCTAAGGCCCTGTGTGCAGTCCCACCCCATGTGAATGCGTGCAGGGATGACCTTTCTTCCCCAAGAGCGCACACTTACCTACTGACAGCCTCCTCCTTCTGGTTCTAATTCATTCAGTCCTCTGGATCAGGACCAACCACAGCCTAACAGTGTTTATGGAAAGTCTACCTTGCATTAGCGTGAAAACACACCACCCTCCTACCTGCTAAAGTGCCTTCTCACCCACGGGCTTCCACTCCCTAGATGTACCACTTTAGGGGCCAGGGCAAAGTGGTGTTCTGAAGGCAAGGACTGTAAAGGGAGGCATTCTTTGAGTGGTGAGGTAGGATAATTACTGGTCAAAACAGTTCTGGGATTTTGTTATAGCTGGTCATAATGCTGTCTATTGCAAATACTTGTATTCGGAGTTACCAGTGCATCGACAATGTATACTGTGTTTAGATAACGCTTGGCATTGATCTGTATTCCTCCAGTGCAGGGCTCCCTCCGCCTCTCCCTCCGCCAGTGAGGCCACCCCACCCATACCCTCTGTGTCTGTAGGTTTAAGAACACAGAAGCCATTGGCAATGAAGTGACCCGTCTGGTTCGGTTGGACCCAGGAGCCGTTAGCGACATCCCTGAAGCTATCAAGGTAGCGTAGTGCGTGCCGAGTCCTGGGATCAACATGCACAAAAATGCCTGAAATGCCTGGAAACTAGAAATGTGACATATGTGACAAAAACCTGATGACCTGAGTGGTATAATGATTTTTCAATCTCCGTTTTTCCTCTCCTCATGTGAAGCATTTGTTGTTTACAGTAGAAAAATACTGAATGTGCTTCACCCTATTTGAAGTTGCGCTGTTATACTATCAGAAGCCTTTTCCCATATTGCTTTAAAGGCTTTAAATCATCACTTTTCTAGACTGTCCTTATGAAGTGGGATGGAGCCGGGTATTTCTAGAGGGGATCGGGGACTGCCTGAGCCAGACCATCTCCTTGCTTCCTTCCCAGTTCCTAGTCACCTGGCACACCATCGATGCCGATGCGCCAGAGCTCAGCCACGTGCTGTGCTGGGCGCCTGCAGACCCACCCACCGGCCTCTCCTACTTCTCCAGCATGTA